GCCCAGCCAGCCGGGCGCCTCAGTAGCGGTGCTGCTACGAGCGCGCCCGGCGGGTTGAATGTGGCGAGTAAGCTGCCACATCACCTTTACATTATGTATACAAAGAATTAAATATACGTTTATATTGTGACATTTGTAAATTAAACGTTATCAATGCAAATTACCCATCTCTGTACGATACACTCTGCACACGCGGTGGCGGAATAACCTTCTTCTTTGGAGGTGAAAAGGAGTGGCGACCGAACAGAGGACGATAAACTGGACCGAATTACATGCAGAAGATTGTGATTCGGCTACAACCTTTTTTTTGTTGTCGCTGGGGAAATGCGTTACGCATACCCGGGCTTTCGGGGGGAAGTAACCCGGGTTATGTGGGACTCTCCCAGCCCAGAACTAACCGGGCGGGGCCTACCCACTAAAACCCCAGCGAGTGTCCGTCCTCTGGCGCATGCCGGTCTGAGTCGGAATCGTCGCAACAGCAGTACTACCGACTCAGCCCGACACTTAAGCGCAACTGCGCGTCGGACCTGACCTGGTCAGAAAGTGACCAGGTCGAGACGGAGGAGGACACCACCTCCCTCCGTCTCCCATCCCGGCGCACCGTATACTATGTGGGTGCAGAGCCCCCACTCTACACCCACACAGTGCTAATACCAGGACAGCCGAATCATCCGGCAGATCCCCGCAAACAGGGGAACCTCCAGAGCCCGGCATGCTCCTCTCACTATAACTCAGGAGGAGCCGCGCGGGGCAGAACGCCCTCCCGCGCCCGCTCGTGTTCCTCCTTCCTCTTCATTACAATCTCGAAGAAGGACAGGAGTGCTTCCCGTCCCTCCCGATCCATCATTCTTCGGAGAAACCCGGGTGTCGTAAGATCGGGCCCAATTACCCGGACCAGCTCCTCTCGCAACTCGCCCCACGCCGGGCAATATCTCACTGTGTGCCGAGCAGTGTCGTTCTGCGCGGGACAGTGCCAACACCTGGGTGAGTTCTCCCGCCCGATGCGACACAGGTACCGGCCAAAACACCCATGGCCGGTGAGCACCTGCGTCGCCCGGAACGAGAGACCCACCCTGGCCTCCGACCATCTCTCGATGATCGGGGCAATCACCCTAGAGAGGCCGACGCCCTCCCGGCCCCGACGCAAGAGCCACGCCCTCCATGCAGAGTACATTCGTCTGCGCTCGCGATTGCGCACGTCGCCCATCATGGAGGGCGTAACCGCCTCCATTCCGAGCGAGCGCTTGAGTTGCGCCACCTCGTCGTAGGTGGCCGCATGCATTTCGGCGGTGATCTCGATAGTCGGAGATCCCGCCAGGGCCGTAACGTGGGCAAATGCCGCAGTCTTGTACGACCGAATGATCCGGCCCGCCGTCCTCTTCTGAGCCTCATGCAGCAGACTCAGGATGCGGCGGTTGTTGGCAACATCCCTCGCCCATACCGGAGCCCCATATAAGGCGACTGACTCCGACACCAATACGTAGAGGGCTGGCAGTTAGGCCCCCCGAGATTGGGCAACAGTCCGCCTAGACGGGACGCTGTTCTCCTCATTTTGGGCACTATGTGCCGGAAGTGAGCCTCAAATGTGAGCCGGCTATCCAATGTGAGTCCCAGATATTGGATTTGGGAGCCAATGTCTATGCGGGCGCCCGCAACACGCACGTGCAGACCAGGTGGCTTGCCGCGCCGGAAGAAGCCGATTGCCTCAGTTTTATGTGTAGCTATGCTGAGGCCAAGTTCCTCGATTTGGAACACGACTGCGCGGGTCGCTTCGGCTGCCCTGACCCGAGTTTCCTCCCAGTCCCGACCGGCGGCAAGCACTATCATATCGTCTGCGTAACAGACCACAGTGCTGTCGGGCGGGAGGTCGGCCCTGAAGCCGGAAGCCAGTTCCGGGCTTCATGGCACGAGAGGCGACGCCAAGGGCACGAAAAAGGCATAAGTCCGAGAAAATATTAAGTTAATTAATTATAATTAATTATGGAAATTTTATGTTTTGTTACCGAATTTCGATACTAAAGTTATTTACGGAGTTACATCAAATGTTATATTAAAAATAAAATAAGTTAAAGTAATTTGCGGAAATAGGCGGCCAATGGGATAAGCGGATTTAATTTTCATTGAGTTTATTAATTATCGAGCGTTAGACCAATCAGAGGTCAATTGTACTGAGAAGTAGAATTATTTAATTTTGAGAGACTATTGACTGTGCTTTCCAGCAACGGAACACAGTCAAACACTGTGTGACACAGTGTTACACAGTGTCGACTTGTAGTTGGAATGCTGCTTAGCTTTATAATTTCACCGCTTGAGTTCAGATTTTATATAACTTAAATTGTTACTATATTTTTTTCGGTATATATGCATGGTAAATTTTATAGACAGCGGTTTATAATAATTTAACTAACAAAAACCGAATTGTATCAAGGGATTTGCAAAGTGTAAACATTAATTTAACCAAAATTCTGTATTCATTTAACGTTTTATTTGATTTACCTGTGGAATGTTATAGTAAGTTTTGAAAACAAAAAATACGTGGTGCTAAATTATAAACATTGAAAATAAATAAAGCATTTACCACATCGCAAGTTCTTAGTAGCGAAATTTATATATTCGAATTGTTCATTATTACAATGATATCGTACGTAGACGTTTCGGCCACCATTTGGCCATCATCAGTAACATATATTAATTAAATAAACATTTTCTCTTTGATTACAAGTCAAAGTAAAATATTTTGAGGCTGACAGATAAAGATGGTTCCTGTTTTTTCTTTCTTTTAAGATGGATAATAATTGAATAAAAATTTATTCAAAAATTGCCTCAAAATATTTTACTTCGACTTGTAATCAAAGAGAAAATGTTTATTTAATTAATATATGTTACTGATGATGGCCAAATGGTGGCCGAAACGTCTACATACGATTTGTAATAACGAACAATTCGAATATATAAATTTCGCTACTAAGAACTTGCGATGTGGTAAATGCTTTATTTATTTTCAATGTTGGTTTAGTAAGTATTTACAATTTTTTATCTTATTAAGAAAATTAATTAATTTGATCAATCATTTACATAATTTTATATAGATGAATACGCAAGAAACGACGGCGATTAGTCTTTTAATGGAGAATGTAATAAATACCAGTACAAGTACAGAACAAGAAAATTTAAGTACTAGTGAAACAGATTGGAATAATAGTAGTCATTCAACCAGTAATACATCTTCAAGCAGCGAAGAAAATGATGATATCTTCTTTCCTCTAATGAAATATTTAATCAGTGGACGTAAAAGACATCGGGTTGAACATTACCTTCACGTTGTGGATAATTGGACAGATTTAGAATTTAAGGAGCACTTGCGAATCAATCGCATTATAGCAATTCGATTAATAGGTAATATTTATTTATAAAATAAAATTTTTGTTTTTAAACATTAATTCACAATATTGGAAACCTATAATTCTTTATATATTCTAGATGAATTGCATGATAGTGGATATATTCCTTCACATTCATTTGGAGTTAAACCGATTGAAGCAAAACTCTGTTTTCTTGTATTTTTGTGGCATTTAGCGAACACAGAACCTCTACGAACAATATCAGATAGATTTGACATCTCAATTTCATCCGTCTTTCGAGTAATTCGTCGAGTGACAGCTTGGATTTTAACAAAATTAGATGATGTTATCAAATGGCCCGAAGGACAATATGCCGCATATGTTTGTCAAGAATTTTATGCTAAGAGAGGCATTCCAAATGTAATAGGAACAATTGACTGTACTCATATTAAAATAGAGAAACCTAATGTAGAAAATGCAAGAGATTATTGTAATCGGAAAAGATACTTCTCTGTAAACCTACAAGCTGTTGTAGATTCGAATATGAAATTCACCAACATATATTGTGGTCAGCCGGGTTCTCTCCATGACGCACGAGTCCTGAGAAAATCTCCATTATACAATTCAGCTAATGAGGATAGAGAAGTAATTTTTCCAAATGGAAAATTTATAATCGGGGATTCTGCATATCCATCATTACAATGGCTTGTTCCTCCTTTTCGTGATAACGGTCACCTTGAAACCGGAGGCTAGGTACCGGCTTCATCCTCGGATCAACCCCGTCAACCAGGTCAGACAGTAAACTGGACAATAGAAAAGAAATGTAAATAAATTAATACAATAGTGATAGGTGAAAGATAGAGTAAGATTAGTATTGATATTAGAAATAGGATTGCGAAATAGAAAATGGAAAAGTCAAAGAAAAAAGAATTTAGATTTAAATAAATAGAATTAAGCTTAGGATTAAGTTGTATATAGTCGTTAGAGGCCCTTAAGGCCACGAAACCGTAGAAACGGTGTTAATTTGATAAATAACCGTATAACGGGTGACGGGAAAAAAGTGATTTAAGACAAGAGATAAGAAATAGAGGGAATAAAGTCTATTATTGAATAAACCAACCGTTAGAATCACGAGTTGAATTAATAGAGTTGATTACAAATAATAACGAGTTATAGATTATACCGGGTGATCGGATAAAAGTGTTGAGTAATAATTATTGAAGGCGGATCGCGAAACGCGACCGTAGTTTTTCATTTGAAAGTTAATATAGGATGTTGGTTAAATATGGGATTACCCCATGTATCGGGTGACCACAAATTATCGTCATTACATAGATATATTAAGAATTGGAATAAATTGAACCGTAGGGTTGACAGTTACCATTGATAAAGATAATTGAGGTTAGTTGAGCGAACAGAATATAACGGGTTGTCAATAATAAATTGTTATTACATATATTAAGCGAACGGATCGTGAAAAGCGACCGTTATTATGAGGGACCTATAAGAAAAAGGTAGGAGCGCATATTGAATGAATAAGTATACCGGGTGACCGCGTAAAAATGTTATTATAAGTAAAGGGGGACGGATTGGAAAATGCCACCGTCATCGCTTGTATGAACACTGAATAGAACAGTATTTAGAGTTTGGAAATGATTCATGTACCGAGTGTCGGTAAACATTGTTAAGTAAAAGTTAAAGTAGACGGATTGGGAAAAGCCACCGTAGTTACTTTATTGAACATCGAACTAAAGCTTATGGAGAGTTCTGAGTTGATTGAGATACCGAGGGTCGATAATTAACGTCGATGATAAGTGAAAGTTGAGGGATCGGGATAACCGACCGTCATTGTGCTAGATAACACCGACAGAATATACCCTTCGCTGCGAGCGCGTCGAGTGCGCATGTCGTATAGAGAGGGTAGAGCACGAGAGAAGGGAGCTGAGATGATATAAGCGAAAGCGCGGAGCGAAGAAGAGGCTTGTCGTGTGGTTTTTTGCTCAGGGAGAGTGGAGGTTGCTCAAGAGAGGCGGATTGTCGTGGTTCGTTGAGGTGGTCGTAGATAGGCGTGATCGCCGGGAGAAATAATGTTCGCGCGTACTAATTAATACAAGGCTGCAAGCCGTCGGAAATAATGAGATTGTTAAGTAGGCTGTTCGCCGGGATAAGTTACGTGAGGGAGAAGTAAAGTTACGGGCGCGAGAGGAGTCGTGAGCGGGACCGTTGGAAGTCACGGG